GGAATGGGAGGAATGGCTGTGCATTTATTGGCATAATGTCCCCAAAGAACTATAGTAATTGTCAAACAAATTGCTCTCAAGAGGGTATGCCTCAGCCAAACACCAGTTAGTAATGGCGATGAATAAGAGAAAAGCAATTCTTGAGCCATAACTTTGAGACTACAATAATAATAGTTATTATTTGTGATTCTCGATGAATGTAAGCGAGAGAATAGTGAGACTAAAAGCATTGGTATTAAATATACATTAAATGACATATTAGTACTAAATTCTGGATTATAACACAAATATGTAATGTGTGGACAAATACAAGCAAAATAATACATAATAAATATTTTGTGAACATAATTGATTGGGTATATTGCCTAATGAGCAATTTTAATATTCTGGTAATTGTTTTGTAAGAATTTTGTATTATTATTTGTAAATATTAGTAAATGCTAACTGCAGCATGCACAATATGTAAGATTGTGTGTTTTTTAAAAACAGAAATATAAATAAAACTTACTTGCTAGTAACTAGTAATAAGCCGATTTATGGCACTCAACCCCAACCACCGAATTGTATTCAAAACTCATATAAAATAAATTCAAATAAATTCCAGTCATATATGAGTTCAATATACAAACATGTTTATACATTGGGCTTATTCTGTGCTAAAATGCATTTTATATATCACTCATAATAATGAAAATGTTGAGGTTTTTATTGAAATGATAGGCCCGACCATAATATTCAGTAGTCGTAAGAAAAATAGCAGTGACTCGGAGGCTGTGGTGACAAACAATTCGTGATTTGAATAAAATGATCAAAAACTCCAACATCTCTGTTGATTAGATTAAGATGTGATCAATAAATATTCAATAATCGACTTTGCGTTCACTTTTTTGTTGGCAATGCCATGAATATTTTGAATGACAACTTGCACTTTAAATTGAATTATAAAATGAAAATAGTTTTCAACTTTTTTTTATTAATAAATTTGTTTAAAAATGAATTTACAATAACGCGGTTGAACGTAATAAAAAAGCTCATAAACCTAATAAAAAAGCTTACATACAAATTGGGCTAATATTTGAGTAATTGTTACGGCTAGTATAAGAAAATTAAAATTCATGTTACGCTGAATGTGCGATGAGTTACTTAAGCTATCAATTTTGGGCTTACAATTACCATGGTAGGTGTATGAGATGCAGTGCTGATGCATAAGTGATGATGAGATCTGTTTGAGATATGTTTCAAAGAAGTCGACGGCTTTCTCACCGCAATCTCGTCGCACGAAATCTATTTGACACTCAACTGACTCTTGAAATGCGCTGAAAATACAATGATTTTATGATATAAACTAGGTTAAGCAATTAATTTGTTTCATATTTAATACAATTATCATTAAAAGAGTGTTTACCAGCAAAATGTCTTCAGTTCTGCCTCCATGTCGGATGTGTTTTGCGGATCAATACTCATATTCTGCACTCTTCTCAATACTCCGGCACACTTTTGCTCAGACATCGACACATTCTTGAAGCACTGGGCATATCGTAAATAATCTGACAAATAATGTATTCGGATGTGTTTTGCGGATCAATACTCATATTCTGCACTCTTCTCAATACTCCGGCACACTTTTGCTCAGACATCGACACATTCTTGAAGCACTGGGCATATCGTAAATAATCTGACAAATAATGTACAAATAAGTGGTAAATATTGTTATAATAGTTAATGTCTACAAATGTACTAAATAAATTTTAAGTTTCTAAAATAATTAATTAAATGTAAAGTCTTTTAACTTAAAAAATAATTTGCATTTAGCTTAATAAGTTGACAATATTTATTAATATTTACCCTAATTTTACAATTTTAAAAAAGTTTCAAATACTGTATTAATAAATGGAAAATAGATTTATATATTGTGTGTACTATTAGTGTAAAACCTATTATTGAAGAGGCGTTCAGTCGGTTTAGTCGGTCCTTACATAATAACCCTCAAGAGAAAGGGTGTGAACTTTAATGACTAAAAAAATTAAAACAAAGTATTGAGAAAACATTGTCTAAATGACTATTTTGATCAATGATGCGAATGACGTCTCTCTGAAATTAATTATACATTTTTATACATTTTTCTAAAAACATTTAATAACTCGACTTTTACTGTACACTCGCTTTAGTAGTGATTTTACTTTTAAAAGTTTTTTCTATAGCCGTTATATTAATAAATAGTATATTACATGTACTATGTAAGCAATGTTTTAATGACACAAAAAATATAAAATATAACTGATTTGTTAACTATTGATGTTGGAGTAGAGAATCTTATACATAGTATAAAAATCACAGAATATTCCTAATACTCGACTCAATGAGTAAGCTATTAGAAAAAGCCTTTGCATAGACTTAGCATATCTTAACTGATGGTACGGTATATTAGAGTATAGTATGCGAAGATTGTTCACAAGTCTTACTATTTTGAAAGTCTCCGGTTTGACACAATAGGTTCAGCACTTGTTTTGTTCCGTTCACTATCTCTTCAAATAGATTTTTTTGGCTCCGATTCGTGCAGTTCTTCATGTGATTGTCCGCACAAACGACGCCTTCTTTTAATTTCCTGTTAAGGAAACAATCAAATGATGGGAAAGTGTTTTATAGGGTTTTCGCAAAATCACTAAATTGTGTGCTTCATAACATGTATGAGCTCTTTGTATGGATTATTAGAATTTAATACAAAAAAGATTTTCATTTGATTTAATGAAAGTTTCAGGTGAGAGGTATGTTTGGTGGACACATACCTACAGGCCAGGTGCAGGTTCTCCCTATTGGTAGCGAAGGCTAGGCTACTATTTTGTGTCACTTCTTGTATGGATGCCAGACATAAGTCAAATGATGATAGACTGCAACTGTTGTCGGACACGGAGTTTGTTGCCTCAGATGTGGTGCGTATCCTTTGATGGGATTTCCGTTTTGCACCTTTTTATAAATGTTAGCAAATGTTAAGATTTTAAAATTTATGACTATTAAGTAAATTTTACTTGACATTTATATTAATTTTAAGTTTATTCAATTTAATTATTTACATATAAGTTATTATATAAATATTTTAACATAATATAAAATATGATTGTTTCTCCATATTTAGATATAGTATAGCTATAATTAGCTATAGATATATAGCTATAAAAATTTATAGCTTTTATAAATACAGTAGTTATAAAATATTAAACCAAATCTACTGTTCATCACATCATTTGTCAACATATTCTCAATTTGTATTTTATTCCCCACTGTTAGGGCTGAGCTCGCAATCGCC